CTTGGAAACTTTTCTGATAGAAATAATAACAACAACAATAATGGTAAAGCCTAGCAATTTATTAAATTTGAACACAAAGCAGGCACTGGGCTGTGTACTTTATATGCAATGACTCCATGAAGAACTACAGCTTAGAGTTAAGTATCTTCCCCAAGGTCACAGAGAGGCTATTATGCAAAAGCTGGTCTCAAATGAAGTATGAGTAACTTCAAACTCTGCATTTCCAAATATCAGATGCTTTTAGCATCTTCAAACAAACGGTGCAAGAGAATTCTTAAATAAAGACATTTACACATTTGAGAGCTATTTTATTTTCTTCTCTATCTAAATCTCTGTCTACAAATTATTTGGTGAAAGACTGTTTCTGCTTTACATTTTCTTGCTAAAAACCTGCTGCTGTCTCTGGACTTATTTTAGAATAAATGGTGGACTTGTAAGCATGGTACTCATGGTCCCTAGATCTTGTCTCAGATTGCCTGCCAGCCTCATCATGCCCACTCCATAAACCTGGCCATAAACCCTTCTCTTAGGCATAACGGCCTTTAATCCTTGGATCATGTGCATTCCTGAGGCTAGGGGAAGACATGGCCGTCTCTGCTTCTGAAACCTCTCTCATCCCTGAGACCAAGCTCAAATACCTCCCCCATAAAATTTTTCTAAACTCTGCCAGTAAGAATTCATCACTTTCTCCTCTGTGCTACCGCAGCCCTTTTGAGTTTCCCTTGCCCCAAATTCCTGTTATCAGTGAATTTATCTACTGTTCTCACTAGAGATCCTTGAAGACAGGAATGACAACGTATTTGCCTTGGCAACCCTCCCAGCATCCAGCACAATACTTTATATATGGCAGGTACACGGAAAAGTTCATAAACGGATTGGAACAAAGACTCCATGTTGCTAAAACCGCTTGAATATGTAACCCTGCAGGAACATGTGGCCATCTGTAGAAACGCAAACCCCATGAACTGACCCTATAAAAACTGCTGAGGGGTATTGGTTCATGAAGGTTGTGGGAACTTCTATGAAGCAGAAGAATGTGCATATTAATCTAGTGTAGAGGGCAAAGCAAGTTCCAGGAAAATCACTTGAAGACTTCTCAAAATGAAATACAAACCTTCAGAAGAGTTAGGTAAATAAAAATTTACCTCAACAGAAATCTCCTGCCAATAACTGAGAAGAAGATGAAACAAGATGGGGAAGGAGGAAGTGAAGGAAAATACTACTGGTTTTCAACTTTGGAAGAAAAGATCAAATTGCAGTAATCTGTGAGGTAGTCCAGGGAGAGAGAAAGGAGCATGGCTGAGCAATCGTCTTTGCTTCCCAAGCTTCAGATTCCTCATGTATCCTAACTTCCTCCAACTCATATTAGCCACATACTTCTCACTCTTGCAATTTCAAAATACCTTTCAAAGATGTCTTATTTTTTTAAAGATTTATTTATCTGAGAGAGGGAGAGAGAGAGAGCATGCATGTTGGGGGAGGGGGAGAGGGAGAGAGAGAATCCTCAAGCAGACTCCCCACTAAGCATTGAGCCTGACATGGGGCTTGATCTCATGACCCTGAGATCATAACCCAAGCTGAAACCAAGAGTCAGATGCTTGACCGACTGAGCTACCCATGTACCCCTCAAAGATATTTTAAAATTTTAGATGAAAATTTTGTAATTATACTTAGCATTTGATATTATAAATACCTTCTTGGTCATCAGCAGGCTTCATATTATTAATACACATTGCAAAGTAGAGGTGTCTGCCTGGAACCCAGGGGATCTTTACTACTAGTTAAATGACTGAGAGTTAGATGGCCAGAGGTGAATCGTTATCAGGTAGAACCTCTGATTCTTCTCAGCCTAAGCCTCAAATGTTGGTATGTCAGAGTTCTATGTTCAGACCTCTTCTCACTCAATACAGTCTTCTTTGATTTTCCCATTAACTCCTTGACTTAACTGTCAGCATTATCCATATGTATGATAGCTTAGACTCTAGCTTGAGATGACCTTTCTTCTAAGCTTTGAATTTGTATTTCCAACTGTTCTTTGGGCATTTTCACTAGGATATCCTGATGGCCCCTCAAACTCAGCATATTTATAACCACACTTATTTTATCCACTTTGCCTCTCTCCAAATAAAAGAAGGCACCCCAAATCTCCTTTGGTCTTAATCTAGGTTAAAAGTATTACCTACCTAGGGGCGCCTGGGTGGCTCAGATAGTTGAGTGTCTGCCTTGGGCTCAGGTCATGATCCCAGGGTCTTGGGATTGAACCCCACATCGAGCCCCACATCAGGATCCTGGCTCAGCGGGGAGTCTGCTTCTCCCTCTCCCTCTGCCTCTCCCCCTGCTCATGCTCTCTCTCTCTGTATCTCTGTGTCTCAAATGAATAAATAAAGTCTTTAACAACAACAACAAAAAAGTATTACCTACCTAGTCAACCAAATTAGAAACCTGGAGTCATCTTAAATTTCTGCTTTCCCTCATTCCCCTAATCTTGTTGGTTCTGCCTGCCTCCTAAAATCTCTCTCATGATGAAATTATATAACCCTGAGGACAGAAAGAAGATTCCACAAGTTTCCAGAAGGCAAAACAAAACAAAACAGGCCATATACAAAAAGAATCTGGGACTGGAATGACTCTGGCCCTATCAACAGAAACAGCAGAAGCAAGAAGATAATGGAGCACTGCATTCAAATTTCTGAGGTTAAGCATTTTTCAACAAGGGTAAGGCTAAAATAATGATAGTTATTTTCAGAAAATAATGATTTCCAGACATTCATGGCTTCAAATTGTTTACCTTTCATGTACTCTTCCTCAGGAAGCTACTGGATGATATGTTCTACCAAAAGGAGAGAAAAGAGGAAAACACAGAACTCAGGAAAGAGGGTAGCAGCACAGGAAAGAGGCAAAGGGGCTTTCACGACAATGATGAATAGTAGGTACATACTTATAATAATGTGATGAAAGAAAAATTATGATATGCTTATATTGGAATGATGGGGGATGGGAAATGTGTCTGAGGAGCTGGGCAAGAGAGCTAAGTTCTTCTCTTCCATGTAAGAAAGTCAAAGAGAAAAATCCCACATACTGAAAGATCAAAAAACAGCTACCTAAACATTGCATTTAGAAATCTGGAGGTCAGAAGAAACAGCTAAATGAGTTGAATGTAGCTGTTTCTGGGGATGGGTCTCAGGGAATTGCTATTTTTCACTGTAAGCCCTGTAGTACTTTTGACTTCTAGTATTTCTGTATATGACAACTCTGGTAAAATTAAAAAAAAAAAAGAATTAGGTACTCTGTTTAAGCATTATAGTGACTACTTTGTGTTATAATTCCATAAGGAAAGATTCTTGGAGAGAAAAGATCTAAAGATCTAGTCTTATTTTTTTATTTCCCCAATATTTATAATGAAAAGAACATGCAGATTTCTTTACTTAAATCATTTCTCCTCTCCTGCAATTATATTATTCCATATCAGTATTTCAATAGATGTTCTAAACAAACAACCACACTATAACCTAGTGAGAAATGGTTATGTCTCACCCAAGAGAGTTAAGATTTGTAGCCCCATTCCATATAACACACTTGAGCTATGAGCTAAACATGCCAGGCCCTGTCCTAATGATTCTAAGCCTATGTGAAACATTTTTCTCCTGTGAGGAATATGGCTTAATTAACCACCTGCTGAACTTCAGTTTGGAAGAAAGGTAACTTACGGTGAAAAATTTTCTCTCATGAAAAATAAATGCAATTTTAAGGGTCAAAAAGCCACAGTAAAAATAGTTCTTGATGGTCACTTTTGCTAAATTGTATTATTTGGAGATACATAGACATTAAAGGTTAACTAGCCTATTCCTTCACTTTACAGAAAACTGAGGCCTAAAAAAGGTTCAGTGACTTGACTAGAACGACCCAGTATGTTTTCAGATTTTGCAAGATGATTCATGTCACTTAGCAATGGTTAAACAACTTCTACTATGTAGTATCTACTCTCAAAGTAAAGATGGGAACAGACTCAATCAATTAGATAATTCAAGCCCAAAAAAACGAATGCCTTAGATTACCTTAGATTACCTGGATATTTGGGAGGGAGTTTGTTTTTTTATCCTTTTCACTGTACATGTAAAAGAAATTCATTACAGAAAATAATTTCAACTCCAGAAAATAATAAATTCTTTGTACATGCCAAAGACAACTGCTATTAATAGTCTGGTTCAATTTTTTTTTTGCTTAATTAGAATACTATTAATTACATAATGCCTATTATCACATCCATCAAATAAACTGTACTATTATTTTTTAATATGGACTTTTCTTCAGTTGTTAAAAGAAGGCAAGGAGATGGCAGAGGCAGAAACTTCCAGATATATAAACAGAGGAGAAAAAAAATCTGAATTTCTTATTCAAATTATAAAAGCTCATTAAAAGGAAATAAAGCAAAAACTGTGACCAAAACTAACACATTTTTTTTAACTATTAACAACTTTAAAATAAGGTGATGGCTTTGATATAGCTACAAATTAAAGACAGTTCATGCTCACAAAACTTTTGAACTGTAAAACATGCTTACGTTAGACTTTGAGAATTTATTTTTAGATAAATAGATGGCTCAAATAACTCATTTGCAAGGAATTGGAAAGCCCTCAGTTTTATTTTTTTTTCTTTTTTTTTTTTAAGTAGGCTCCATGCCCAGTGTGGAGCTCAGCGTGGAGCCTGAAGTCACGACCCCGAGACCAAGACCCCTGTGGAGATGAAGAGTTGGACACTCAACCAACTGAACCCCCAGGCACCCCATCCCTCAGTTTTAAATCTGTGTAAGAAGCTTATGTCTTATTTTCATTATGCTCCATGTTAAAAGATCTTACAATAAATAATTTGAAAAGTTCTTTAAAAAATTGCTGATGGAACGAAAGAGGAAGGAAGGAAAGAGGGAGGGATGGAGGGAGGATAAAGCCAGGATCAAGGAATTTGCCTCAATCACTTTTTTGTCTCTTCTTCTTCTTTTCCCTTTAGGTAGGAGAAAGAGTAGGCTACTACTCAACCTCCACGTTATGACTGGCAGCTCCGAGAACTCCTTTTAAGATGTAGCATGTTATGAATACATTCCAGCTCATAAAGGAATAGGAGAAATTTCCACATGAAAATCACCTTTTTCTTTTTTTAAGTAAGCTCTATGCCCAGTGTGGGGCTTGAACTCATGACCCTGAGATCAAGAGTCCCATGCTTTACTGACTGAGCCAGCCAGGTGGCCCAAAATTCAATCACTTTTATTTTTTTTTAATTTTTATTAAAAACATTTTTGTTCTGTTTTATTTAAGAAATCTCTACACTCCACATCAGGCTCGAACTCATGAGCCTGAGATCAAGAGTCCCATGCTCTTCCAGCTGAGCCAGCTGGGCGCCCTCACTTTTAAAACTGTATCTACTTTTACCATTGTGTGAATGCAGGCAATGACTGAATGGTACGTTTTCTCTAGTTAATATATACTGAGAAGGTACTTATTTATAAGCATAAATGCCAAGAAGGTATTTATTTGTAAGAATAAAAACCAGGAGCTATCCTGGGAGACTCCTTTGAAGTCAATCTCCTTGGACATCCATAAGGTTTTCCACTGTATACAAGATCTATTTTTATTGTGAAAACTTCTAAGCTTTTTTATTATTATTATGTGAGCTTTGTAAATTCTTCAAAGCTAAGTTCTCATTTTTCATGGCAGTGCCCTTTCCCAATTACTCCACATAGTGGGGTATCAGAGTTATTGTTAAACAGATCATTAAAAATGACAGATCAGGTCCTTACACCTGACTAAGTTAGTCCTGACTATAAATTAGGTGCTTTGGGACATGCATGCTCTCTTTTGGATCACTAGGGTCATATTACTGCACTGAAGCACAGACAATTTACTAACTCTGATCCAAATCTGAGCTGGTGATTAAAAACTGATGGAGTGTTTGGCACTACTAATACAGTATTCTTAATACCTGTATTCAGCACACTGCTTTTCCAATTTGAGGCTAACCAGATTAAATAAACATTTGTACTTATGCTTTATCGCCATTAGTATACTTTGGAGAAAATGTTTCACTTAGATTAAACAAACACCAAGAGTAAGAAAATTCATATTGAAATACTCTATTTGCCTCCATTAGGAGACAAATCAATTTTCTACTCAATTTTCAAATATAAAAGAACTTTCTGAAACATTTCTTAAGCACTGTCAGCCTTAATATCCTCAATGTTGAGAAATCAATGATGATTTTGGAACGATAATAGGTACCAACCACTGTGCTACTGAATTCATCTGAATCTCTTGCACTATTAGTTGACGTAATTTCTTAGTTCTTGTCTTAATGAACTTGACTGGAATATATCAAGAGAACATAGCCAAAGATATATCTCCTTTAGAAGAACTTTCATCTTCTCAAGGTCACTGATACTGTTATGTGAAATAATAATTTTGGGTACATACAATGTGTTCATAAAATATTACACATCTTGCAGAAACCTAACAGGACATACTCAAACAGGTAAAATCTGCTTTTACCTCAACACTGATTCACTCTGAAATTAGGTTTGTAGTCTACACTTTAAACACAGAAGCCGGTATCTCTTGCTATCAGATTATAAACACAATGTCTATATTATCAAAGAGTTCATCTACTCCAAACATCTCAATTATCTGTTAAAGAAATATACAGTTTCTTTATATTACTCTAAAATGATATTAGGTTTAGAGTTATATTTCAGCCTTATAAAGTCAAAGCTCCAAATATCTTAAAGTTGGGATTTTTGAAAGGCAAAGGAAAAAGAAACTAAACTGCCTAAAGTTAAGATAGGTGTACCGTGGCAAACAACCTGTTGTCTTTTATTTTTGTACCACCCTTCTTACATTAAGAGAGGGATCCATGCCATGGCTGGTATAAAAAAAAGCAAGATTTTGAAACAATTTTTTTTATACTAATTAAAGGTATTTTGGAAATAGTCCCTTGCATTCTTCAAAAGGATTAGCAGCAATATTTTATGTTGGGTAAAAAAAAAAAAATACTGCTTCTCTTCTTAAATGTCCAATGTAAAGGGTGGGTGATTACTATATTTATTTTCATATAAGTGTTAAAACTTCTTCATCCTGTTAAAACTTGATCATGTTCCAAATCTTTTGTAACAACAGAAGAGGCAACAGTATCAACAATGAATTTTGGGCTATACTACACCAACTACATAATACCTATCTTGTCTAGAAGAGTAACTTATTTTTTAATTTACTGCCTCTAATCTTTTTTTTTCACTTTAAATAAGAAGTAGGAAAGCAATTAAAGAATTTTATATCATATGAAACATCCTATGGATTTTTGTTTTGTTTTTACAGAATCGGCTTTTATCTTTGGGCTTTCCATATCAATTCAAATACATCTTGATGAATTAAACTCTACCCAAATATTGTAAATAGATAATCAATAAAGCAAGTTGTAGTATAAAAAACTTTTAAGCTGAGATCTATTTAAAAAAATATAAACCTACAAATGGTCTAAAGTAGGTCCTTGATTCAGTCACTGAACATTCTCCAATTTACCTCCAACATAAAGTAGTGGAAGAGATTTGAAATCGGAGAAGGTCTATGCATTGATCATTATCTTAACTCTGGCAGGCTGAGAGGTCTGCCACTGTCTGGACAACATCAAGGAATATGTTATATGTAAGGATGTTGCCCAGGGGTCAAGCCACAGATTTTTACTCAGAGTTTCCTGGAATGACACTGGACTTGGGGTACCTACTTTTCTGTGTTACGTGGCTATAGGCAATAACAATTTTTTCTTTGACGAAGAAGAACATGCTATCAGAATTACTAAGAAACAAAAAATCATAGAAGAAATAGCTGCCTTCCCAAGTCCTGATCGCAATGTATTTTAGAATAAGTCATTCAAATTGTCAACAATCCCAGATTGTTGCTTACTCTACACTACCCATCTCTTTTCAGGGAATGCTTTCCTTCTATCTGGCAGGTAGGAAATATTAGGGTCTGAGATAAGCAATATATTTTCCTGTAACAAAAACTGTCCCCCTGCGATTGCTTCTTTCAAAGAAGAAATATACTATGATGGAAAAATGTGATTCATTTTCCAAAACTGTGTTTAAAAGCAACTTTTCAGGAACATAGCTCTTGTGCTAAGGCAGGAACATCTGTATTTACAACACAGATCTGAAACACCTACATGTTTTTCTGTATAACAGAGCATGTTTCTCTTGGCCAAAACCATGTTTTATCTTCATATTTGAGCAGGAATTTATAAATAGGTCACTCTTGGTATTTTAGCCAGAAGAACACTGAGCCATTAGTTTTGTTTTAGGGAAAACAGTGAAGTGTAACCACATAAAATATCATGCTACACTTTCTACTTCTGCACATGCACACAAAGTTACCATCTGAAGTCTTCTTTAATTCAGTTTTCAGTTTTTCCTGGTCTTCTACTAGTTTTTTATTTTCTGATTCCAAAATGTGTTCCTCCTCCTTGGCATAGCTTTTCAAGAGCTATCAGAAAAGAAAGTTATGGAAAGAAGTAAGCTTAGACTGCAACAACCACGTATTATTTCAGGAAATAGGCTGAATAACATATTTAAAATTATTGGGTCTTTATTTGATTCTTTGTCCTTTTAGTATTTTATAATTTTCTACAATGTACTTTTGCTGATAGAAACTTGATATTTGAAAAACAAAAAGATTTCTTCTTACTAAGGCTGAAATCTCTGAAATGAAAATTAGAGTTTCTGGTTGGGCTATAATTAAAATTATGTTTTGGAAAAGTATTTAGGTAAGTAATGTAAATGCCTCCATTAAGTGTGTGATGTAAATCTAAGGGAAAAAAAACGGTTCTGAGGATGATATTAATTGGTAAACCATTATGTTCCAATTACAGAACTGTCTACTCAGACTATTTTTATGCAGACCAATGTGTAAAAAAGGAATATAACGTCAGGGTAGGGATGGGCAAGTGTAAAATGATAGCGCCATCTCTATGCTTGGAAAATTCTACCTAATTCTGAATAGTCATTGAATAGTCCCCAAATTACTCTATTCAGTTAATCTTTTACAATGTTTTTTATATTTTAAAATCTAAGAGGGCTTTTAAAATGTTTTTTGTATGTTTGTCCATCTTTTCTGTTTTTTTTTTAAAGATTTTATTTATTTGTCAGAGAGAGAGAGCACAAGCAGGGGGGAATGGCAGGCAGAGGGAGAAGCAGGCTCCCTGATGAGCAAGAAGCCCAATGAAGGACTCCATGCCAGGACCCTGGGATCATGATGTGAGCCAAAGGCAGACGCTTAACTGACTGAGCCACCCAGGTGTCTCTGCAGATCGTCTTTTCTAGGCAAGAAAAATTAAGATCAGAATACTAGAATATTTGACTAAAATAAAAATATCATGGAGTAAAAATTTCATAATCTGTATGTCTAAAAGGAAACTACCATTGTTTTGTTTTTTAAATATTTTATTTAATTGACAGAGAGAGAGAGCACACAAGTAGGCAGAGTGGCAGGCCGAGGGAGAGGGAGATGCAGGCTCTCGCTGAGCAGGGAGCCCCATGCGGGGCTCGATCCCAGAACCCTGGGATCATGACCTGAGCCGAAGGCAGCCGCTTAACTGACTGAGCCACCCAGGTGCCCCAGGAAACTACCATTGTTAATAGATTAAGAAGCTTACTTATCTTAGAGAAATTTTAAGATATTTAAGTTACCAAGAAAGGCAAATTAATGTTTGAAAAATATGTATACACTGGCATGGGTTATTTGAATAAATAAAAGTTGCAGCAACTTGATATTGACAGTTTCCACAGTCAGGTAAAAAAAGCAGCTCAGGCCAATTTTAAACAAAGTGGCAGAAAAGAATTTTTCTTTTGCAGGGTAATTCCTTTTCTAATGTAAGCTGGTATATCCAATAAACAAAATTCACAAAGTTCTACTGAGCATGGGCTATATGCAAATAGATTACAATTTTTACAATTAGGTGATATAAGGGATAAAAATGTAAGAGAAACATGGTCTCTGCTCTCATGTAACTTTAATCTAGTGGAAAGGATGAGACAAGAGCATAAAAACCATAGCATAAGATCAAATACAGTACTATCGTGTTATAATCGAGTTTAAGCAG